TCAGCTGTGCTCTGTGGTTCAGACTGAGGTCAGGCGTTCCTAACTCTTAAAGTGTTTAATAAATAAATATGTGTTTGTCCTCCAGATGACCTGCCCAAGAAGAAGCCTCCAGCTCTGTTTAAGCCCACCAACCCCGACGGCTTGGCCTACCTGGACTTCAGCGTGTCCACGACCGGCATGCTGGCTGGAGTTCAGGTCTGTTCAATCCCGGCCTCCTAACAGAACCGTTCCTTGGCCACACTGTCCTCTTCCTTTACTCTTGACTTCTATTCAGAAGAAACACACAAACCAGCTCTTCTTTCTTACAAATTAGTCTAAATGTGTAGACATGTCTGGTTTGACTTTTTTTTTGTCTCTGTGTTGTCTGCTTCTCCATCCTGTCCACTCTTCAGATGTCCCATAATGCAGTTGGAGCCTTCTGTCGCTCGGTGAAGCTGCAGTGTGAGCTGTACCCGTCCAGAGAGGTGGCCATCTGTCTGGATCCGTACTGCGGCCTCGGCTTTGTGCTCTGGTGCCTCTGCAGGTGGTTGCAGCGCCGATATTTATTACTACAAACATCAACGTCGTTTTGTATGGGGTGCCGTTTGTACACTTAATCAGTCCAAAATTAACAGCAATATTTTAGTTTATTTAGCCTTTCATAAGGAAAAAACTGCTTTTTTTTCAAAGTCATATTTTCACCATGTTATTCATAAATTTATAAATGTCATAGTTCAAAACTAAATATTTAATTTACAAACTAAATATTTAATTTGCAAACAAGAAATTTAGTTTACAAACTAAATGTTTATGTCCAAGGTAAACGTTTAATTTACAAACTAAATATTTAATTTGCAAACTAAAAATTTAGTTTACAAACTAAATGTTTATGTCCAAGGTAAACGTTCAATTTACAAACTAAATATTTAATTTGTAAACTAAATATTTAGTTTACAAACTAAATACTTAACTTGCAAGTTAAATATTTAGTTCCACACTAAATATTTAGTTTACAAACTAAATGTATATGTCCAACGTAAACGTTAAATATACAAACTAAATATTTAATTTGCAAGTTAAATATTTAGTTTGTAAACTAAATATTTAGGTGTAAATTAAAATGTTTAATTTACAAACTCAATTTTTATATCATGCTAAATGTTTAATTTGCTAACTAAATATTTAACTTGCAAGTTAAATATTAATTAGCAAATTAAGTATTTATTTTGGAAATTAAATGTTTATTTTGGAAAATAAACATTTGTATCTGAGCTATATCAGGTCTCTCTAGTAAATGAGTCCCCGAGGCTCAATGGGATTTACCTGCCTAAATAAAGGTTGAATGAATAAATATTTAGTTAGTAAATTAAATATTTTGTTTAGGAATTAAATGTTTATCTTAGAAATTGAATGTTTAGTTTGGAAATTAAATATTTAGCTTGAATAATAAATATTTAGTTTGAAAATTAAATGTTTAGTTTTGAAAATAAATATTTAGCTTGGAAATTAAATATTTAATTTAAATCTAAATAGTTAGTTCACTGGGCAGCACGGTGGCGCAACTGGTAGAGCTGCTGCCTCTCAGCGAGAAGGTCCCTGGTTCAAACCCCGGTCCAGGGGCCTTTCTGGGTGGAGTTTGCATGTTCTCTCCGTGCATGCGTGGGTTTTCTCTGGGTGCTCCGGTTTCCTCCCACAGACCAGAAACATGCATGTTAGGCTGATTGGTAACTCTAAATTGTCCCTAGGTGTGAGTGAGAGAGTGAATGGTTGTTTGTCTCGTTTGTCTCTATGTGTCCCTGTGATGGACTGGAGACCCGTCCAGGGTGTACCCCGCCCCTCGCACAGTGATTGCTGGACATGGGCACCAGCGACCCCCGTGACCCAAAATGGAATAAACGGGTAAAGATGATGAATGAATGAATGAATATTTAGTTCACTAACTAAATATTTAACTTGCAAGTTAAATATTTATTTTGTAAACTAAATATTTAGTGTGATGCTAAAGATTTAGCTTTCTAACTATTTAACTTGCAAGTTAAGTATTTAGTTTGTAAACTAAATATTTAGCTTTTAAATTAAATATTTAGTTTGGAACTATGACATTTATAAATGTTTGAATGACTTGGTGGAAATATAACTTTGAAAAAAAAATTTTTTTTGTATTAAATGCTAAATAAACCAAAATATTGCTGTTAATTTTGGCTGTTTAATTTTACAAACAGCACCCCATATAAACGTATATTTTTCCTTGTCCTCACGTGAATGTCTGCTTTATTTTAGTTGTGAGATCTTTGAGAGATAAATTTAAATATTTCAAATCAAAGCAGAGATGTTAAGAATACAGTAGATTTACTGTATCTGTTTCTGCTCATGAACCTTCATAAATATGGTGACGTTTGGTTAAACAGCTACAAAGATGATCTGGATCTGTGTCGCTGTGGTCTCATGTGACACTTCATGCATCGATGGGTTACATCCGAGACAATGATGTCATTCACTTTGACACGTGACTGTATACTGCCAGGAATTGAACCTCTGACTTTCTCATTAGAAGGTAATGATTCTAACCACTGAACCACAGCCTCCATAACAACAAACAGGGACATTATTTTCATCTCAAGGGTTTGAAGCTCAGCGTCAGAAACTCAACAACTTTTTAAACTTTTTTCTGGTTTGTTACAGTAAAAATCAAATATCTGTTGCCAAACAAAATCAACTCCGTTGAGAAAAGGTTTTATGACCATAAAGCAGCAATTAGTTATATTTACTGGTTATTTGTTTGTTATAGAATTAGACCCTGTGATTTTAACTGAAGACTTGCTCTGGAAGTGCATCGACATCTGTGCAGGATTGATTAAATAAAGTGTAAATGTTAGTTTTCTTCCTTGTATTTACTTCATACAACCAGTCACTGATTTTGTTGCTGAATCATATGAACGATTATAAGAGTGGCATCACTGACACTAAAACTGCATCTTGTTTGTGTTGTGTGCAGTGTTTATTCGGGCCACCAGTCCATCCTGATCCCCCCGGTGGAGCTGGAGTCCAACCCGGCACTGTGGCTGCTGGCCGTCAGCCAGCTGAGGGTGCGAGACACCTTCTGCTCCTACAGCGTCATGGAGCTCTGCACCAAAGGGCTGGGCCTGCAGACTGAAGCACTAAAGGTGACTCTGATACTGCCTGCACGTCTGTGTTTATGATTAGAACCTTGTTTTTTACCTCTCAGGCTTCCTACCAGGCATAAAAACTATGGGATTAGAGTTTAGTATTTTCAGGTGTAACGAGTACAAAAGGCAGAACTTTTATAGCGTTACGTATTTATTTAACTATTGCATTTCCTAAAAGATATTCTAACTTTTTAAGCATGGCTCATATAAAGAGGAAACACTTTTGATTCTTATACAACTAAATTACCAACTTATGACA